GTAACTGCCGGGATCGATTTTCTGCAAATTCATATAATTGTATATTAAATAATTCATTTTAAATTGTCCAAAGTCTTATATTCATAAAGAATTTAGTACCACCGATTTAGTATATTTTTCAAATTAAACTTAAGATGGAAACATATGAAGATTGGGTTTTCAAAAGTCATCCAGACTATAACATAGTTATTTTATTCACAGTTGTATCGTTATATCTTAATTTATTATGGTCAATAATTTCATATTTGTTAATTGCCATCTTTTTTGTAAAGAACTGAAATAGTTAAGTAAGCACAACTTATCGTACTAATTAATATTATAAATGCGAAAGTTTACATGGATGGATGTTTGTTAGAGTTTATAACGTAAAAAGAATTTTGATGAAACGACTTAGATGAATTTTGGTACAGATGTAGAGAATAGTCTGGAAGAACACATAGCCTACTTATTTTTGTTTTTTTTTAATTACACGCGGACGGAGTCGCGAGCGAAAGCTAGTTATTAAATAATCTTACATACTCACAAACAAGGCCCACTTTGGAACTCTACAATTTATCTAAAAGCAATAAATTTAAATTTTATAACGTAACCTTTAATAAGCAACGGTAATGTAAACCGAACTAATAGAGGCATCTCATTTTTCTAAGTTAACCGAGTATTCTTACTTACGGCGTATATTGCAATAAATTTTCATATCGTCGAGGTGAAGCAATATTACGTAGTAAGTGTATTATATTTCATGTCTGCGGCCGCGCCACCTATCTGATAGTAATTTTGCATTTCTATTGCATTCAACGGCAAAATGCCGATGGAATGAATCAGCATAGAGCTGTTACATAGGTATATGAAAAATGTGTTTATAATTTGCAAATACAATTTTAAGTTTTTTACTTTTCAGATTAATGTGTGAACGCCATAAAAATTTAAACATTAAATGATGACAAAGCATGGCAATCTTCCTTCGTTGATGTTGGCAGCAATTTCTGGTCTCTTTCCCACATTAGGGTTTTTATACAAAACATTTACCCCCTAAGTTAAATGGCGTGAAATAATATAGCCTAAAGCCTGACGTAAGTGTAGGACTTTTTATTGAAGCAAGAATTATACAAAAATATGCTGTAATTGCTGACATCTTAGGCAACAAAGAAGTGTATGTTTACGCTTTATTATATTATTATATATAGTATAGATTAAATTTCAAGTTTAATTTTCTATCGAGTTGTTTTATTTATTCTGTAGTTTTTCAATTACCAGCAAAGGTAAATCATAAGAACTTAATAAGTGAGTAGGATTAATAATTGTTAGAGAAGTAAATCTCACGAGTGGCAACTTCGAGTCAGTAAACACTGTGGGATGATTCCCCTCGTTTTAATATGAAGCTACGACCTGGGGTATATCGGAGGGTGCATTTGTTAATCATATTTGCACTGTACATTCAGAGAGTGTACTTTAGTGAAACAACCTACAGCTTTAATTAATATTTTTAACGACATAAATAATGAAAATATTCTGTCAAACCTTTTGAGTAAATGAATTTATTATAAGACTAGCTGTTGCTTGCGACTTCATGCACGGGATGTTCAGATAAAAAAGTAGTGTATAATATGACATAGACGGGCTATGTCAGCTAACCTTCAGTGAAAGTCGGGTCGAAATCTGCTCAGCCGTTTTGGAAGTTACCCGGACCAAAATCGGTTGCGGACAGACAGACAAAAAGAAATAAATGTGATTTTCGTAATCAGCAAAGCACATACATCATTTTTCCGAAATCTGGAATTTTTCTTTTTATGTTACAAACAGAAAGACCAATTTTATTATATGTTTAGAAAATAACGACTTTTTACTGTCAAAACATCCTTTAACTTTCTAATTCGGATAAAATGTTCTCGTTTTTAAATTCCGTTTCCAGTCTGTGATATTAATATAGCAAATTTACTGCGACATTCTAAAATATTCCGAGATTGCATTTCTAGATGAAAGCATACATATTTGTTCAACGAAATCAGTTTCACAAACAAGAAAGAAGGTAGATTTTGTTATATAACGAAGATTCTGCTAGTCTTGTGTTACTAATAATTAAAGCCTTAATGAAATGAAATTTGGAATATCTTGGACATATATTGCGTAGACCGAAATAAACATTGTTACAGATTATTATTCAGGGTAAGATTCTAGGGAAAAGAATTCCAGGAAGGAGAAGAACATCGTAGCTTAAAAATCTTCGCCAATGGTACAATAAAAGTACGCGTTCTATATTTAGAGCTGCTGTGTCCAAACTTCAAGTTGCTGTAATTTTTTTTTATTTATTGAAAATTTTACAGAAAACAAATTAAATAGATATACAAATGTGGTCCCGCAAAAACCATATAATTGGTTTGTCCGCGGATGCGATGGTACAATATTATAATCTTATCTTACTAATATTATAAATGCGAAAGTTTAGATGGATGGATGTTTGTTAGAGTTTGCAGCCTAAACGTCTGAACGGATCTCGATGAAATTTGGCATAGATGTAGAGGATAGTCTGGAAGAGCACATAGGCCACTCACTTTTGTTTTTTTTAATTTCGTGTGGACGGAGTCGCGGGCGAAAGCTCGTATTAAATAATAGTATCTGTAATGATTGCCAACATTCGTTAGAAGACGGCACCAAAAGAAGGAAAGCCTTAATAAAACTTGACCTAGACTTGATCTTATTTGAAAAATATCTAAAAGATGATCTACATGGTTAGAATAAGTTTTAACTTTGGATAACCGTATAACATACAGTCACAAAGATCTAAAGTTAACAAATAAATAAAAATAACATTTTAAGTAGTAACAATAACGCATTTATAAAAAAATCCCTAAGTCTTAAGCCTTTGTAACTTGAAGTCTTGAGAAATTTTAATTTGTTTCCTCCAACATCGGCTTTTCTACTCGTTTATTTAAGTGGAGCGCGAGCTTTCGAAAACTGCAATCCATTATACGCGCGCTTACAAATAACTTGCAGCCAGATTGAGTAAGAGACTGAAATATTTCACAGTTCTTAGAGACGATTGCCGGAATATTGATCAGACGAATATCTCATACCGCACTGCCAGATGTTCAAGGAAATTTTTTTAATAAATATACTCAACTTGTTGAGTATTTGATATGCCAATAAAAATAAACATGAGAGATAGTCACGCATGTATTATGTTTTTTTATCTTTATTTTTTCTAGCAGATAACTTACAATCATTTTTATTGGCTCTTCGTTGATTATCTACTAAAAACCCGCAATAGGTACTTAATCTTCGGAAAATCTTGATTCGCGTCTTGAATCATCATCCACTTGCCCTTATCCCTTACGGAGGGTCGGCACAGTATGTGCTGCTCTTCCATACATCTCTATCAGTCATATCTGAAAGCACTCCTTTCTTAAGCATATCCTATTTCACACAATCCATCTATACATTCATCGGTCTTCCTCTACCTTTGTAGCCATCCACATTCAATCTTAACACTTTCTGGTTTATGTCCCATGATTTCGTCGCATAACATGTCCATACCACGCTAACCTTAACGTTATTCACGGCTTAAGGTAAGAAAAAGATAATTAATAGGACATGCTCACTCTTTCACATATTTTTCGTTCATCGTAGTCAGTCTTATAATTTTTATTTTTATAATCTTTATCATCGCTTTGAGTATAGCAATATTTCTAATGTTACATATGAATTTAAAGGAAATGTATCATTAGATTTCTATTGAAAGATTAGAATTAAATAATGCTATGGTCAAATATTGAGTATGATGTTTATATTTATTTCCTCTATTCAATATCTCTAGTTAGATATATTACTACTACTTTTTTGTAAATGTTTGTTTTTGACCGACTTCCCAAAAGAAGGAGGTATTCAATTCTACGATATGTTTTTTTTTTATTTTTTTTTTATGTTGATTGTAATTGTGGTGCGAGTTGACTCTTATCGACCTGCAATTTGTCTAATTTGTTTCTAGAATAAATCTAAAACTAAACTAAGACGGGTTGTGAATTAATTTTAAGGCAGTTTATTGCAGTTTTTATTTTTAAAATATCATAAAATGATATCAACATCTTAAGAGTAACATTGATAAATAGAACATATACATGCTATTAAATTGTTTCAACTTCATACTAAAAATATTTACATACTACTATTGTCAAAATTATTGTCCCTTTATAATGTCTTATTATAGTTTAATAATATTTCACTTGCATTAATTCAAGTAATACAAAAAGAAGAAAATACAATGGCTACAAACAACAAATCAACTTATAAATAATTTTTATATTCTAAACAATATTATTATCAAATTTATATTTAAGCAACGAAAATTAAGCCAGATAACTTACTTTCACAATAAATACATGAATTACATAACTACATATGTTATTTTAATAATTGTTAAAAACTTGGATACACCTTACATATAAATACAAGTATTTCACTATAAATTCTTTTCATTCCTTAAAAAATAAGTACGTATCTACAATGTATTTGAAGTCCAAAAAAACTCCTTTCGTTCTACTTTTTTTTAATTATACATTCCATGAGCCGAATACATAACTTTACAACTATCCGGAAGACAAATTTATTATGTTATACATTAAGTTTACAGTCGATCCAAATATAATTTCATAGTATTGATTATTCTTCAATTATTTTATTGAAATAGAAATTATTAACTAATAAGTTATTGTCACTTTAATACATGATACAAGGACATATATCCAATTGCCTACGACTAATATCTAAAATTCCATTATGTATAATAAAAATAACGACTTAATATTTATCAAGTATATAATATTTATTAAATAGTAAATGCATTATTGTCGCCATTTCTATATAGGCTGGTTTTATTGTCCCTTTTATAATGTAAAAATTAACTAAATAAGAAATTAATAAAATATGGTACAAGTAACTTAATTTATAATACCTTCAGAGTTTCAATATAAAATAAACATTCAACTTAAGATTTTTTATGACTTACATTAAATTAAATAATATTATAAAATTCTCATACTCGTAAATTCTTATCAAATCCAGAATGATATGGCAATCATGATATTTTGATTCACGATATATTTTAATCATGAAATACAAGTAAATTATTGTCCCTTTATTTATTGTCTTAATTTAAAATTATTCTAAAGCTGAAGTATAGCTTCGTAACTTCTTCATAAATGCACATAACATTTCAACATTAAAACGTATTTAAAAATTGTTTACAACAATCTCAAAATATCACTTATGATCTAAAAAAAATTCAACAGCCATTTTTATATCACTACCTAAACTGTTACAATGCGATGTATTTAATTATATAACAATGTGAACTGCGCAGTAGGTAATGAATATTGTTAGAGAAGGTGTAGAGAAAGGGCTTCTGTTGTAGACAACGAAATGCCGCGGTGGTCCGGAGGGTCGAACTTTTTGTCTCTCCGTCCGCTGAGCGTATTCATTATGTGAATTGTTAGCCCCATATGTATTTATGTTGTAAAAGTTGAGAGCATTGTTGAGCTCCGCTTGACGTAGGTCAGCGTCTAAAGTGTTGTGGTTGGTACGATCTGGTTGTTTCTTAAGATGTTTCTTCGGTGGTCGTGTTGTTGTGGGACGAGGTGTGGTCGTTGTAGTTGTTGTTGTTGTGGTGGTGGTGGTTGTGGTTGTAGTTGTAGTCTTCTGTGGTGTTTCTGTTGAAGATAAAAAAGATTCGTTAAAACAAAAATGAATAATTTAATAACGTTTTAATATTATACAAATCAAATTAAATGTCCAATTTAATCCATCTTTATTAGTCAAAGTTAGTCTATTTAATTATTTATAATATTTAATTTAAGGGTTCGTGAAATAAATCAATAGTCTTTAACATGATTAATTGTAATGTATTGTTACCTTTTAAATTAATTGTTCCTTCTGCTTTTCCATATCCATTGATGGCTGCACACGTATATTCACCGAAGTCCACCTTCTTAAGGCGCGTAATGGTCAGGTTCATTCGTATTCCGTATTCGCTCACGACTTCCTCGGATATTATGTACTTGGAGCTATTCAGTAACTTTCCACCTATGATTAAAAAAGAAAACACTAATGTTAGAACCTTATTACAGTGAGGTGTAAGAAAGGAATCGCTATGGGTACATCGATGTTATTCGACTCTTAATTAGAATTCAAACTTAACACTCAGTCAATAGATAATATACTAGTTGTTTCCGTGCGACTTCATCCGAATGAAATTATGAAAACTTGCTTCCTTGATGTTGGCAACAACTTATGGTCTCTATCCCACCATATCCAAAATATTTACTCCCCCTCCCCAAGTTTAATGGCGTTAAAATATATAGCCTAAAGCGTGAAGCAAGTGTAGGGCTTTTTATTAAAAAAAAATTATTCATAAATATGCTGTAATTGCTGACATCTTAGGCAAGAAAGAAGCGTGTGTTTACGCTTTATTATAATAGTATAGATTTGTGATCAGACTAATGACTCTAAGTCTGCGATTTAGTAAATAAGAATACGCCTTATTAAAGTTCCAAATAAATAAAATGAAATCACATTACGCATTAAATTATTTGGTTCAAGTGGATTCCTCAAGATCTTGTTCAACCTTTAAATGTCAATATTTGTGTCACGAAACTCGAGTAAGCACTTCACGTGTGAAGAACGAAAATAAACATATAAAAATTCAATCTGATTAATTCACATTTCACAAGTAGGATACTGGTCTACGTAACTTGAGTGAGTGTAATATGTAATTTATTTAGTCATTTTTGAATTAAATTTCGTCAATAATTTAAAACATTAAACGTAACAATTAACATGATTGTGTTTTTTTCAATAGAGAAATAGTAATTATCTTTCAAGTTCAAACAAAACATATTTACTCTCATTCTCTTAGTAAAAATGCACGTAACCATTTTTTATACACAGCTGTTTTGTTAGTGTAAACCCACATTTATACATTATTTGAACTTACCAGACTGTGATTTCCCTCGCTGCCATGTCGTGAGCGCCCTGGGCGAGGCTTCTACGTAGCATTGCAATGTGACCTGCATGTCCGTCGCCCGTAGCACCACGGGACTTGCCACGCGGATTACAGGCGGAACTATATGTACAGGATGTTATAAAACAAAATGTATTATATGAAATAAATTTAATATCTACAAGTAAAAATATATAAATAACTTTAAATTTGGTTAAATACTTTATCATGTGAAAATTATGACACATAGAGAAGAATTATTTTACTTTAATCTGCAGATATAACCAAGTTAATATCTATAATTAATGAAATTATACGTAACAATTATCGAAAACCTAAAAACTTACATAGAACAGTGACTTCGTATCGTCGACTTTTAGTAGGAGGGATGCCATTTGCGGCGATGCACAAATACGTCCCCATGTCCTCTCGGCGTAGACCTTTTAGCACCAGCGTAGACCCAACGTAGCTGTATACCACTATGTTACAGAAAAATGTTACATTAATAGTAGTAATATTGTATATAAATCTGTACAAAATTTTACGAAATCTAAAGCATAAAATTGAATCGAAGTTATTGAGACAAACCTTGCAACTTGTATGTTATTTAGATCAAATGATCTAATTTTTTTTTTATTGCAAACGATTGAATAAAAGGTATTTTACCAATAGAAAAAAATCCATAGGCGCTTGCTATCGTGTTTGTTGTTACACAACGTAATATTTTCGTGCCACACGCTGATATATTATCAGACCGATATCAAATATATGAATAAGGATTTAAGTTTAATTACAAAGGAATTCATGATTCCAAGTATTGGGGAAAAATAAAGAAATCTTCGAATTTCTTTCGAATTTAATTAAAATTCTTACTCGGTATGAGTTATAATTTTAATAAACAAGCATACTTATTAGGTACTAGTAAAAATGTAGTGTATATCTGAAAATTGTAAAGAAAACATTTCCACCATCATCGTCATCATCATCACTATACGTCCCCACCGAGGAGCTCGGAGCCCACGCTAAGTTAGAGTGATAAGGCCATAGCAACTACATTTGCGTTGCTTTACTTCACACATATCTTTGAATTTCTGCGGTGATACAGGTACAGTTTGCATCACGATGTTTTCCTTCATCGTAAGAACGCCGGGTAATTATATAGATATGAAAATTCAAAAAATCGAAAATCATATTGGTACATGGCGGGATTCGAACCCAAACCTGTACATTACAAATCAAGTGCTTAAACCACTAAGCCTCCGACGCTCTCACCACTATAGGTAAAATAAAATTACTTTTAAATTCACCTTAACTCAGTTTGTGTATCGACATTTACCTACTTAATTAACTCGGCACTGCTAATCTCAGTAGCAGTTTAATCAAAACATTGCGAAGGCATTTGAGTTTAACGGTTGCTGTCAAATTAAATTTAAATGGTAGCAATTTATAACTTTATTATAGCACACGACCCCCGGAATCCTAAATCTCGGTCGCTCGCATAAAACACAGCTACGTACCTACTGCGAGTACTTACCGCGTATTATATAGAAAGCGGCCTCTTGTATGGAATTGTATTTTATTAACGGGTTATAAAGTCGGTATGCGACAGGCCGTTGCCAACTTGTTAAATCAGACGACACATTCAAACCAGAAATCCGGCTTTGTTATCGTACGAAAAACTTTTTCTGCTTAATTACGTTGGTTCACAAAGTTGCGTATAGCACTGAGACCTACAAGTCAATTCGTTATTTAGCGACTAGGTTTTACCCGCGACTTCGTGCGATTTAAAATATTTTTTAAATCGTAGTAGTATGCGAAGTATGCGCTTTTTTCTATATGTGTATTTCATCGATATCAGTTAATCCGATTTGATACGTAACAAACATCCATCCATCCAAACTTACTAGTGGTATGATCTCTAAAGATAAACATTCAATTACGAGAGTTTTTTATATTTCTCCTTATTATAAACTAGCTGTTCCCGTGCGATTTCATTAGTATAAAATTATTTTATTGTTTACATGTGTCAAATTGTCAATTACAATTGTCAAAATGACATGACATGACAAACCTTGGCAATTGCTTCCTTGAGTTGACAGCAACTTATGGCCTCTTTCCCACATTAGGGTTTTTTATCTAAAAGTTTTACCCCCTAAGTTTAATGACGTGAAAATATATAGCCTAAAACGAGACGTAAGTGTAGGGTTTTTTATTAAAATAATAATTAGTCAAGAATATGCTGTAATTGCTGACATCTTAGGCAACAAAGAAGTGTATGTTTACACTTTATTATAATAGTATAGAAGTATAGATATCAGTTAAACTTACTACGGATTAAAAAAAATACAATTCTGTAGTAGTAAAGTATTATACTCGTATATTGGAATGTAGCAAATTAGAGTTTGGCATATATGCACTCGACTTTTATAACAAAGAAAACTTCCGATGAAAGAGTTCCTTTGTACACGCTATACTCGCATAATATTCCTCATAACTTTGTTCAGATTATTCGACTTCGTTTCGCTGTAGAAAATCAAAAGATAATTCCCGATATCTATCTCAATATATCTATACAAAAACTATTCAGAGCGAGGTTAACATTCCCAATTATTCTATGAACTACAAAATATAAAACATAACCTATCTCAGTTTGCAGTAAATGTACTGCGGGGTTTGTATTATCTAAATTAAAAGATTAAAACAAAAATAGGTCAAATACGCCTTTATTTCCAAGGTTTCTAAATACGAATGCCATTTTGTACCTAATTGTATATTCATTAAGCTTCATTTTAGATTAAACGGGAGTAAAAGACAAACACACGTGTGTCTAAATGACTAGTTACATAATCGTTTAAGCCCTCGTCTCCTCTATTCGCAAAGGGTATCTCGACCAAACAATAAAAGGTAGCAATCTTATCGAGCCGATTTTCCATTAGTTGTTCATTTAATTTCCTGACCAAAATCCGGATTGCTTCATTTTGTTTAAGCAGTAATTGGGTTCTTAAGAATTTTTTTCAACGGAAATGAATTTCGGTCGTTTAGAGACTTGGTAAATTAAAAATGTTGACAGAAAGTTTTATCTAAAAACTCTGCGATATTATACAAAAGATGTTCACTAAAGTTTGACAGGAATGCGACTTATTTCAAACACATAAAAACATTTAACAGTACATTAACCAACAATAATATACCAAGAAAAAAGTGTAATAATCTACTCGTATAAAAAATATTGTCTTGTGACACTCCATTTTCTATTCTACTAGAGTAATTTGGCTAAGATCGCGGGATATTTATATTGTATTTTCAGTCTTTCCAATATCTTGAGGCAATATCCTAATAAATCCCATAAAACTCCAATGTTTTAACCGCGCGGGCACCTGCGCCCGCTCTGGGCGGCTTTGAATGTAAAATTAGTCTTGTTTCTTTTTACCACTTAGTCGAGTCTCTTCGTTGTGAATGGATTTCAAAGGAAAATTGACGTTTTTATCCCGTTTTTACGATGCACATCAGTTACTTTATATCTAAATGGATGAAGGCTTTATCAATTAATTGACGTGCTCGAGTTTAGATACTCTTTTTTATTTATTACGCAATTTCACATATCTAAAGTATATTCGAAGAATTATATGTTAATGTTTACGTACATAAATAAATTTATTTTCTTTGTAGAATCTTAAATTAATTGCCAAATAACACTGACCTTTGTTTTCTTTACCGTCTTCATCCCGGAATACGATATTACGACCTTCATTCCTCTTCCACGAGACAGTGGGACCGGGTACTCCTGTGGCAGTACAGCGTAGCGCCACACTGCCGCCCTCTGGCGCACTAGCCGCTGAACCATCATCATCCGCGATATCTGGCGGTATCACTACAGACAAGTGACCCATCTAGAAGTAAAATATCACGTTAATTTGACGTTTTTCCATACGTTTTATGGAACTAAGTAGATCTTCAAGTCATTTAATAGTAACTTTACCGGTTTCTTAGTGTCTAAATAAAACACCACTAAGGGAGAGTTAGTCTCTCCCCGTAGTAATCATAAAACGAGTCTGTGTAAAGCGGTAAAACTAAAAAATTGTTAGAACTTATATTATGAGACGAACAGTGTTTATATTCGTTTTTGCCTTTCACACATTTATCATATTCGCTAATGAACGTAATTAAATTGACTACGTTATAAAACTGACATTTTTAATGATTCAAATTACGCTGTTTACATTTTAATGAGAATATAATCCTTAATCAGTTATCAAGTCAATGACCCGTGAAATGTTTAAATGCAGTAGACATCACGAATGACTAGATTTCTATTTGAATCAAAGGCATTAGGTCGTTACTGCACGTCACGATGGCGGTAGACAAAGGGAAACATTCTCGTTAAAGCATCCGACCGCCTCGGAATCGCTAACTTTGCTTTTAATGATGGCTATTTTATTGCAATCAACGTCTTTCAGATAATTGCCTCTACTTTTATGACACAATCACTTTTGCCGTTTTTAAAAACGTCCTCTTTCTCTGAAGTCACTTAGGCAGTAGTTGATTGGATATTTTCATCGAATACAATTGTATTATGGCAACATTTACGTGTTATTTATATCATTGTATGTGTTTTGTATCTTTTTAATAAAATGTTTTCTTAGAAGAGAATTTAGAAATATATTACTTAAAATTTGGGAATTTCATTTTAAAGGCAGATGTATGACTCTGTCTGAATTTCATTGCATAGTACACAATAGAGAGACTTTGACAAAATTCCAAGTGCGCTCCGTGCTACTACTGAGCCCCGTCCAGTATTTATTACTTTATACATCTCAATATAAAGCCTATAGTTTTCAGAGTTGAAATTTTTGAGGTTACAAATGAATTAAAAAAAAACAGATTATGTCTTCGCGATACTAAGCAAATCTTACTTCTTACTAATATTATAAATGCGAAAGTTTAGATGGATGGATGGATATTTTAATAAATACTCTAACTCTAATGAGTTTGTAGCCTAAAATGCTGAACGAATTTCAATGAAATTTGGCATAGATGTAGTAAATAAATAGTCTGGAAGAACACTGTTGTTTTTTTTAATTCCACACGGACTGAGTCACGGACAAAAGACTAAACAAATAGACTAATAATGTTAAACACAAAGAGACAAAATTCAGTATAGATCACTTTTAAAATATCATTTTACAATTAATAGCGCACAGTTTCCCTTATTATAAGTTCATGAGTTTACAATGTCAAACCAATCATTGAGAATAAGATATCAGACTTTCAAGAAATACGATAAAAATCCATAATAAAGCTATGCGAGCCGTAGAGGAGTATGTTTGCACATCAGTGGTCCGGCTTTGACAACATTCCTCGCGAGCGCGCTGTCTGACTCTACACGGTGGGTCAGATTCCCTCGAGGAAATATGCCAAAGTTATAATTTCCTCATGGAAATCTAACAACGTGTTTTTAACACAGTTAACACAGGAAGCTGTATACTTGTAGTTGAATTCTTTTTCTAGAAAGTCTGATAAAATGTATATCGTTTTCACCTTATTTTCCTTATTCCATTTAGTGTAGGCAATTCATCTCTATATCGATCTATTGTACGCTAAGCTCTGTCAATTGGACTTCTAGTTTCATAATCGACGAGTATGTAATTTGAATTACCTGATTTTAAGTTACACAAAATATGGGGCCATTTTAAGAAATTAAACACGGATTAAATGGACATGTTATGCGACGAAACGAAGTGGACATAAACCAGAAAGTGTCAAGATTGAATGTGGATGGCTACAAAGGTAGAGGAAGATCGAAGAAAGTATAGATGGATTGTGTGAAAGGAGTGGATTGAGATATGACGGCTGAATATGCTGGAAGAGCAGCACATACTGTGCCGACCCTCCGTAAGGGATAAGGGCAAGTGGATAATGATTAAACACTGATTAAATACATAGAATATTTACATTAAATTGAACACGAAACACGTCATATCTAATTTTTAAAATGGAATTATTTACAACAATTTAAAAACGGTCAATTGACATTTAAGTCGTAAATTAAAAAAAATAATGTTATTAGATTAATAAAAATAAAATTGTAATCGAGTCGGCAGCATCAACAGGTAAGTGAGTCATTTGTTTCCTCTAGAGAAACATTAGTCTTAAGTCAGGTCATGACGTGAAATGTAAGTTGCGACGTGAGCTGGGGAACGGAACGCGACATGGACGTTCAAAAATATCCACGTTCATTTGTACATATCATTCTGATTTTCGAGTTGCGACGTAACATTTGTTAAAAACATTATTCAAATTTCTACCGGGAATTTTAACTTAACCTCACATTCATAACATGGTGAATTTAATACTATTGAAGTATTTTAACAACAAAATGTTTTACGTCGAAATGAAGTTAATAAAGATATTTATGTCATTACTATTAACGAGTCAATGACTATGTTTCATAATATTTTATATTAAAATTCCTCTGAAAATTGCTTTTATTCCTTTTTAAAAACCCTTTTAAATGAAAGTACATCTTTTTCGCGTACATTTTATTTACTGCAGCTTATTTAAAATAGTATCGGATAGTAAATCGATATATTTAGTTACAGCATCCAATAACATGGATTTGAATGTATTAGGCTATGTTGTATGCTTTTTCCAGGCTTTGGCGATTCATTGACGGCAGCACGAGCCGCCGACCAATTATTTAGAGGTCGATTCATCTGACAGAACGTCATGATGGATCACTGGTCACTGTGTGCTACGCCGTAGGCCCCATACTTTACTTAAAAAACCGTTACCCTATATTCGACGCTGTTATGCAAATGTTTTTATCTTACCATCATTTGGACTGTTTTTTTTACATTGTAATATCTAAGTTTACCACCTGAAGATTGTCAGTTTACCTTTTAGTAACCGTCAAGTTGAATGTACCAAGTTTAATTAGTAAGAATTTGATACTAGACTCTACTAAATATAAATATAGGAAACTTAAATAAGCAGCAGAAAATAATTCAACATTGTACAAAAAAGTCTAAACTAAAACGTAAGCTAAAATATTTTATACGCAAAGTTTCTTGTACGTTAATATTATGCTATTTCACGAGCGCTTTATATCTAAAGACGTAAGCATATTTCCCTAAGTTAAGATAAACGAAGGAAGAATGTTAAAGCGCTAAAGAGCTTAATTCTTGGCACCATAAACACATTCTTCGACACATTGTTTGCTACGGACGGCGTAGCTGAATGCTACGCCGCTATAGCTACGGCAAACATTTTGCTGTGACATCGTCGTGGAATTTTCTTACTCAAAGGAACCTGTTCCCAGGTTGTAAAATGTGAATCCCGAGAAACAATGTCCTTAACATAATTATACCTCTTTGTTATGGACATAACTTGCATTATATTCCAGTAATAACGACTTTCATAGACCCTTAACACGGATAAATATATTTTCTATTTAATAAATAGTTTGTGAGTCATTTTTTGCATTGCATTAGTTAATTATTTTCCCTTCACATTTCCACGTAAACATTTTAGGTGGCTATGCCCAAATTATTTGAAACGAGAACTTATTTCAGTCCAATATTAAGTTATAATATCTTATTATAATAAACCTTTTTTCGGTTTCATACGTACAAGTACTTACAGCTGTGTTTGGTTCAGAACGATAGCCGTACCCGTGTCATCTTTGACCGTTAATAGGCTTTGTATGAAAAGCGGACGGGTTTTTCTATTTTTCGAGAAAAAACTTACATTTCTAAATAAAATTCTTAAAATAAAGATAATCTTTGACACGTAACGAATATTATTTTACATACCTATTGTCCTGATTATCTGCAATACCTTGATTGCCAAAGAATAATAAACAGATGAGACAATTGCTCTGGAATATATAAAGATAATTTTAATAAACTGAAACCTAAAAAGAACCTTAGGTAGTTAGATGTCCTTATGTCGTGTTTCTTTTAATGCAGTACAAAATAATAGTTTTTATTTATAATTATAGTCTTTACTTAAAATGATTATTGTATAACTTGACCATAAAACACGATAAGTGTTAAAAGCTATCACTTGAGTACGGTAAAGTGTCAAGAGGATCCGAGCAAACACAAAGCACTTCTACCCACACTGTCTAATGTTGGAAGGAAAGACTGATTGATACTATCGGAAGAATGCCGTGACATTGTCGAGGCGACGAAAGAATTGATGGAACGGCTAAAAATAATAGCGTCGTATACATTTTGTACATGTATACTTCTATCTGTGTGTGGTGTGTGTACTGAATTGTGAGTTGTCATTACTGAAACATGTAGACAATAACAAAGGGCATAAGTGTAATAGAGAGGTTTTGTTTAAAAAAAACATACCGCAAACTGTTATAAGATACAGCAATTCACTTAAAACAAACTAAACGAAATGTATCATGAATCGAGTATCGGTCTGGGCACAAATTCGGACTGTAAACATTTCGCAAACGGACTTTAATCCCGGTCATAAAAGTAATCCGGTCATAAACTTACGCGACGATGGACAACATAAGGGTAGGGATTTACTCTAACAAAGATTTCGAAGTAATTAAGATAAAA